ATTCTTTCACTGGTTTGAAGTCATTCTGGGATATTTCTAAGACCAAAATGGAGGGCCTGTTTAGCTTTTAACCACTGCTAAATTAACTCAGGTAGGAAAAGTGGGGAAAGAGAAACCTGGGAGTTGTGAGTTAGCCTAGGCCTGATTTATAATAACCTCAAGCGTAACAAGAGCAAAAATGAGGCTCAGTCTGAACTAAGCCTGGAATTTTCTTATATCCATTCCAAACTGACTCTGGAGAAATGTGGCCAGCTATTTCTTGGGGAAAAATTATGGCTATGTCCCTTCTGCGCATCCTTAACTCCTGTGATGTCTAGGAGGCCTTTGGTCAAGTGGAAAGCAGAACAAGACTGCTATTATGAAGGATATCAGATGCCATGGAACCACAGCATCTTAAAACAAACAAGCAAACCAAGAAATCAGTACATTCCCTGAGGGGTTGAGGAAAAGACATACAGAGCAGGTTCTGTGAGACTTCACAAGGCCCTAGTTCCCCTGGACTAAAACTGGGGGCACACTTTACTCTTCCTCTGCAAAGGTGTTTATTTTAAACATCCGCTCAGCCAAACAGTCTAACATCTGCCAGTCATGACCAGCCAGCCATCTACCATCCTTGATTGTTATGGGACTATGGAACGGGATCAAAGGCCTAGAACCAAATGGTTGGCATCTCAACACTTGCCTGATTTTCTCCATGTCCTACCTTGCTTGGCCAAGCCTCATGTGGAACTAGGTTGTTGAGATGATGTGAACTTGTTCATCAGCTGCTGAAGCCTCCAATAATCTGTTTCTATATCCTAGTAGGACAGATAGATAGTCACACTGAGGAAAATCTGCAAGGAATATGGCCTCTTATCCTTCTCAGTCTGTATAAAGTTTTAGTCTTCAGGGAAGTATTGATTTGCTTTTCCTTTTCAACGAAAAGCTTCAAAACTCAAAGAGAACCATGGATGAGGATTGCAAGAAGAAAACAGTTACCCAGCACTCCCACTCTATGCCTTTCTTAGGTAAAATTCCCAAGCCTGCTTCCATCTTCTGCTGCCTCCGCCCAGTATTTCCCAAATATTTTAATGTCTGGAAAAGGCAAATCCCTTAAAATTAAGGAAAATGTTCCACCATCCATCTTGGACATGTGATGGCTCAGGGAAAGGGGTGGGATGGAGCTAGGGGACAATCCATTCTCACCTTCAGACCCTGAATTGCATCTTCTAGAAGCCTTAAGTGATGCTTCACCCCGTCAGATTGTTGGAGGGACAGAATGATGGAGAAACGGGGACCTTCCTTATCCAGATGTTCAGAGCCCCACTCTGGATCTTGAGGGCCATTTGAAGAGCCTCCTGTTGGAGACAAGTGCTTTTATAGCATTATGCTTGACACTTACTTTTTAATATCTATCTTTTTAACTTCAGGTACAAATATACACTAAACCTTCTGCCCATTAACCACAGACCCCAGTCTTTTTTATGCTTCACTTGGACAGGGCCAGAATCCCTTCCCTGCAAAACGTTACCTAATTTTCTCCGTCCCAAAACAGTGGACTCACAGCAAACCACCCTCCTTCCAAGTCTTAACTTTCCAGGCATGCCACCATCCTCACCTGGAAGCCTCCTGCTGCTGTCTGCTTCAATCCTGAAATTCCCATCCCATTCCTCTTCCCCTTCCTGGGGGGCTCCATTCTCTGGGGAAAGGTCTGTAGGTTCTGCGGGAAAGATGGCCTCCCCTTCCTCTGGTATCTGAAGCAGCCTCTTCAGGGCCGAGACTGGAAGGACACAAGATTGTCCCCTTCACATCCTTTGTAGGCAACAGAGAGGAGCTCAACCAAGAAGAAGAGAAAAGGTATGAATCAGGTACCTCGGTCCTGTGCAGCAGATGCTAGAGGGACCTGCCCAGGAGGCTGAGTTCTGCAGAAGGTCTGTAGGTCAGCCACAAATGCCTCCACTGTCTTATCTAACTTTGGTCCACCAACAGGGTTCCGTTCCTCAAATTCTGTGCCTTCCAGAATTCCATCTTTTTCTTGTTCTGAGTTGGGATAGCAAAAGGAAAAAAACCCACTCAGATTCCTACTGTGATGTCTCCAAAACTCAGAGGGCAATAAGAGTTAAAGCTGCATAAACATTTCCGTGTCTCCAAAATATTTAGAGGTTTGATTCAAAGACGATGCCACAGAACCTCCAGATCAAACTGGAAACTCAAAATCATTAAACTGGATGATTCCAAATTGATTTGGATAACTCAAACGCTCCTGGGCATCCTCAGAAATACCTTTTCCAGAACTGATTCAGAAACCTGGCTCAAATCTACCTGCCCTGAATTTAAATCTGAATGTTTAAATCACATCACACTGATTTTCTGGAAGGATAATCCCGAAGGAATGGTTTTCACTGATGGGGTAAGAACACAGGATCTTTTTCTTATTCCCTCCCCTCCAACCTGGATTTTTCCAAATCTCTTCCTCTAAACTTACCCTCTGACTGCAGTGCCTCCTTAAGGGTGCTGCCATTTTCTGCTCCCCCCAGAAGGGCCTCTGAGTAGCTGCCAAGAAAAAAGTGGATGAGATCAGTCTTGGCTACACATGGGGCTAGTTCCTGACCTGATCTCTGGCATCTTCCCACCTGGAGAGCGAGTTTCCGGCTTTCTTTCATTTTTATTTATTTATATTTCAAATTTGGTCCCCGCCCATCTCACTTTTCTTGGCCTACGAGGGATTTGTGGTTCTCCAACAGCAGTGCTGGCCCCAAATGACATTTTGTTAGGGATCCGAGGTTTGTATATTTTATTGATCCACAGACAGAAGGCAAGAACCATTCCTATCGCTTGCTGCTACCTGATGCGCTTCCTTTCATCTAGATCACCACCTTTTTGGGCCATGGATCCCTTTGAGAGTCGGGTGAAATCTACAGACTCCTTCTCAGAACAATATAATTTAAATGCAAAAAATAAAACACAGAGTGATAAATAAACAAAGGAAACCGATTATGCTCCAATACAGTTACCAAAATATTAAATAACAAACATGTAATATAGCAATATACGGGCTTCTTCACTAATCCATGACATCAATAACAAGGCAATATCCGTTTAGGATATAATAATTTTAGATAGTGAGATTTATTGAGGTTAACGACCATTTTTGGAGTCCCTAAGCCATACATTATTTTGTTGCCTATATACCTTATCAGTATGTGGAAAACTAAACTGCAGTTAGCCAATGAAAATAGAGTTGTAATTTTTTCCCATTCGAGATCATGGACTTCCTGAAATCTACCTATGGACCTCGAGGGATTTATCTGTGGATCCCACATTAAGAATCTCAGATCTAGACTGTACATTGTATTCTTTCAGCATCCCTTATGGTGAAATTTTATCTAGCTGTTTTTAACCTCATGGGAGTTTAGAAAAGGACTCAGATTTACATGGATCTCTTCATCTGAAGGAAAGGCGGAGACACAACTTTCAATTCCTGCATTATAGTCTCCGTTACACATTTCCCCTCTCCTCCCCTTCCTCCTTACAGCACACTTACTAGCTAGGACTATGTGGTGACGTTCGGTTTGGTACGGAAAGCCGTTGTTTGGAATTGGAAGAAGCGGGCAGCTTCAGAGAACCAGCAGTGTCGCTAATAATATTGCACCAGCTAGGATGAAAAAAAAGGGAGGGAATCAGGTGGACTATCTTCCCCTAACCCAGCATCCACCAGAGATGTTGGGACTGCGACCTCCCCCCGCCAAGAATTCCCCACCAAACACAAATAAAGCCTTTCTGTTGTGATGAGATTTGGCACAACCTCAGCAGCACTTTTCTGCACAACTTTACATGAACATGGCTCAGTGAAGGGTGCTTTAAAAAAAGAGAGAAGGCTTCTCTCAACCACCCCAATTTTCTGGGAAATGCTCCTTCCTCCAACTAAGGTGCCAACCAATCTTTCACCCCAAACAGTAGTCTGGTTGCTCAATGGGCAAGTAAACCCTTTCCCACCCCAATTCCTTACTTCTTCCTTTCTGACACTGTCTGAGCCACCAGTTCGTAGATCTGAGCTCCATTCTCCCAGCTGAAGATCACGTAGAAGGCCTTGATGTCTATGAGAAAGGAGAGACGGTGAATTCTCCTTGAACTCCATGCTAAAAGAAAACCTTTGAACCACATCCAACCTTGAATCAGAATTTGGGCAGTGGTCCAGACCAACAAATATTCAAGGCAAAAGTCCTCTGCATCCACTTTCAGCTCCCATGACCATCCCCTGCACCCACCTGTGGCCACTTCACGGGTCATGGCAGAATTGAGCTTGATGATGGGGGACAGCATTTGTTTCCCATCGGGGGTTGGGGTGATATTGCGGCTGTGACACTTGACCACCAGGCGCTCTTCCTGCTTCTGCAGAAGCACCAAGATATCATCCAGCAAGAGGACATGAACATCTGGAAAGGATCAGGGAGAATGTAAGCATGAGAAGTATAAAACAAAAGCTGCTGGGGAGGAGGAAGTGGGGGTGGAAGAGGGAAGAGGAGCCCTAATACAGGTCTCCAAGTCTGGCTGGGACCCCCAGCTCTGCCAAGATAGTCTTTCTTAGCTAGCCAGATGCACTATGCTCCAATTCCTATAATTTGGGGGCAGGTTGGTTTAGATGAGATAATCTATCCTCTAATCCAGAAATCCTATTCAGTAATGAAGGCAACAGTGTTGAGCAGGACAGGCAGAAAATCAGGGCTCACTGGAGTCAGGATCAAGCCCATGTTTCTGAACTGCACCCCTCCTTACTTTCCTGGTATTAATGAGGAGAAGCTTCTGAGAAAATAGGTAATGGCAGATACACCTCAAGACTTGGGAAGTGAAACTAACTAGAACTCAGGCAGAGGAATGATGAAGGAAGGAGGTGACAGCTATGAGAATTCAGCTGAAGGAAAGCACCCTCAGGACATGCTCAAAAGTAGCTTCCTCTCTTGTTTTGGCTGCCTCAACAGAGGCTTAGGTATGGAGCTACCACAGAGGCATCAAAGAAGTCAAGATGATGTCTGCAGAGGGGTCAAAAAAGTCAGGATGGCAGGCATGACCACCCAGCCAAAGCCCTCTTCTTTTTATGTGCATAGGGACACCATCTTGACATTTCTGACCCCTGCATGGACATCCCTGACCAGGTATCAAAAACCCTAAACCCTAGTTTGATAGTTACTTCCCACCTCTCTCTACAGATATTTCCACTAACCTACTGATTTATCCTTGGTTACACGCCATGTCAGGGGTCCCTCGTACACAAGATTTCGCTTGGTGATATCCATGTTCTGTGGAAAAGAGCTGGTTAGACTCTGTGCTTTAGCATACATTTTCCATTTCTGACAAACACCTCCACAAACAGGTTGCTGCACTCTGATGTCCACATTTTGAAAAACAAGCTCCCTTTTCTCCTGATGGGTTTTAAGCCTCCAACAACAGCATGGCAGGCCAAAATTCAACAGGGACAACCCAAGCATGGCAAGTATGTAATGTTAAAGCTGTTGAAATGTTGTCTACTATGGAGCTAATGATGCAGAAAAGACAGTCACAGAAGCTTGCCCTGACAAAGTCACAGAGATTTAAGGATACTTCATTTAGTTCTGGGTTCCCCTGCCTAATAAGGTGAATACTCTATTGGAACTCACCCGAAATTCACTCAGCAGAGGATCAGTAGTTTGTTTCAAGTTGGAGAGGTCCAAGCGCCGCTGATAGTCTTTGAGTTTCTGAAAAATATTGTGAATGCCCATTTTTTACCAACATTGAAGTTGTGAAGAAAGAGAGTAGGGCTCTTTCAAAGAAGAAAGAATAGCTCCAAGAAGGACACTTACCAGTAAATTCTCCATAACACGCACTGCTTGGTTGACATGGTTGAGGATCTGCCGACAGCATTCAGCTGCCTTCTCCACTTTCTGACGTTCCTCAACCTCCTCTGCGCCAGGGACCAAGAAAAATGGACATTTTGTGAAGACACACCCCTTGAAGCTTATCTCCCCACTGGAATTTAGCTAGATCTATTTTCCATGAAACTGACTAAGAGAAAGTTCCCTTTTTCCTCCTTCCACGACAAAATTCTATAGACAAGTGACAATTTCTCACATAGACAGGGGACCCTATTACTAGCAATTAAAAACAGTATGCAATGATACATTTGGCAACCGCAAACATTCCCAGTGATTTATTGCCTTTTGCACTGTGCATTTGTCTGAATTTTGCCATGCCCTTTATTGTGAGATAGATCCAAATGTGTGTATTTTAGAGTAAAATGCCTACAAAAATGAGCAATTTAGGTTGTATTCCTATTAAAATGTGTGTTTGGGGGGTAAAATGTCCATAAAAATGCACGCTTGAAGACAAAGTGCATATTTAAATATGCATTTTCGGAGAGGATTTAACTTTGCACATCACTGCAGTACTTCAGCACGATCACCTGCAAAATAGATACAACCTGCAAATACTTTATTTATTTATTTAGTGGATGTATATGGCCGCCCAAATGATTTTTGTGCCAGTCCTAATGCCCCTCTCTGCTCACCAGTGCATTTGGCGATGGAGTGCAGCAGCAATGGATACTTGGTTAGTCTCTGCATCTCAATAGGAATGATGTCCTTCAGCTGTAATCGCCGGCATCGAGGTTTACTTTCTGCCTCCTGTGGGAAAAAAAGAGGAAAACCATTCACCAACCAGTTTGGTGCCTGGAAAAGGTATTATGGAAAGGTCCTATCCGGGGTTGCCTTTCAGATCTATGTAGCTGGTCTCTCCCATGTAGAAGATGCTCTCAAAACAACCTATGTGCGTCCCTTTCACCAAACAAATATTATTTACCTGACCTGAAAATGGGGGAATAGGAACTGGGAGAAAACAATTGACAACTCAAACATCAGCACAACTGAATGGATGAACGTTAGTCATTTGAGGAAGGCCAGGTCAAAAAACAGATACCGCAGAGATTCCAGGAATGTTCTTCATTGTAGTAAGGTAGAATAAGAGAGTCCAAAACCTTCCCTGCTCTTTTTGAAGGACAAAAAGGCGGTGGGGGGGAGGCTGGTCTGAGCCTCTATCTCACGTTTTCTACCATTCCAGGGCTGAGCAACTGTTTCCCCTCTTCCTTCTCAAGGCCAGAGATAAATTACTCTAAAATGGATGGATGGATGGATGGATGGATGGATGGATGGATGGATGGATGGATGGATGACTCCCTGGGGTACTGAGTTCCTGGGAACTTCTATGAGTATCCCCCTCCCCTTTTCTGGGACATCAAGAGGCAAACATTTTCTTGTAATAGTGCCAATTCTATGGAACTCCCTGCCCCCTGAAATCTCATCAGCTGTTACCTTGTTAGACTTCTGGAAATTATTAAAGACAAAACTTCTGAAGAAGGCCTTTGAGTTAGAAATGTCACCTTCTATTTCTATTGCTTTTTGACTGGTTATAATTTTATCCATGTTTCAATTATTACATACTGTTACATAAAATTATTTATACTGAGGACATTTTATCATGGAAATTGTAACCTGCTAAGAGTCTCTCAACCATGATGGGTAAAAAAAAAGAATAATATTCATTCTGCACTCCATGAATATTTGTTCTCTCCTTCCTTCTCTCTCTGATTCTGCTCCATGAAACAGTCACATGAAATAAAAGTTTCCTAAAATAATTGCATAAGCCAAAGTTCATTTCACATGTTTCAGAGAATTCGTTCTGCTTCTGTTTTGCACCACTCTCCAATTAAGAACTTCATCTTACTATTTATGGTTTTGTTTTTTAAACAAAAGTGTTGAATTTTGCAGCCAATACAAAACCCTGCGACCAGCAGGATTCGAACAGTCCTGTCTCAGGAATGGTGAATTCCTCTCTCCTCCCAGCACTTACCTGGATGAACTGGTTGAAACGGGCTTCTTTCTTCTGCTTAGCCTTCAGCTGTTCTAACGCAAAAGACTGGCGGCTACAAAACCGGGAGGAGATCTTCTGAAACCAGTTTCCTTCAGGCCCATCAAACTAGGAAAAGTTAACAAGAAGGTCACCTATGGAAACGTCTGTTCTGTCCCGACCTCAAAAATAACCTCTTCCTTGCCCTTATTTTTGCCAGCCCCAAGGGTATTAATCTCAAATCTTTTCCTCGCACCGTTTGGGGTCGGTGGACATTCTTCTGATCTTTTGTTGATTTTGAGTCAATGGTTGTGCAATGGTTCTGTCTGGCAGGAGCATTGTTAGTACCTGCCTTACCAGCTTCAGCCCTTCCAGCTGGTTTCATACAACATGCTAAACCCAGATTAACCCCCTGCTCTTACTCGAGCCAGCAGAGTGCTTCCAATCTCAGAGACAATCAAATTGTTTTCCTCCCTCAGTTTCTTCAAGTTCTCCAGAAACACTTCTGAGAAAAGATAACACGGAGAAAAACCATGATACAGAGAAGCAAAAATACCATGAAAATAGCCCATTCCATCACAGCAACTCCCATTTACTGGCATGATGGTGTTGGGCCCATCCATGGCCATGGAAGCCACTGAGTGACCTTGGCTCAATCACTCTCTCTCAGCCTAACCACCCTTGAGCTCCTAAATAGCCATCTCACAAATAAGTGAACAACTACACCAGCACCACACCTTGGTGATGCCAGCACCCAAACCCCAAGCTGCAAAAACCCTCCTCTCTTTCACACCAAAGTTGGATAAACCACCAGCAAAGCGCTGGCCTTGTTTCTGACGACTCCAAGCCAGAAAAGCCACAGTCTTAACCACAGCCTGTTCAGAAGAACCAGGCACATGCAGAAAGGGGGCCATTCCAAACTCCAAGTTGGAGTTGCTCCTCCATCATCCATGGAGACAGATGTGTTTCTGCCCTTTGCTTTCCTTTCCTGGATGCCACAAATGGCAATTCTCCAAGGTCAGACTCTCAAGACTTCAAGAAATAGGTGGACAACCCCTTAATCTTAGGCAAATGACTATTAAGATTAGGAATCTTCAGGGGGAGAGGGTGTCCCAAAAGGAGAACTCCCCTCCCAAAAGAGGGTGACCTATATAGAGGTAGGTAAGAGGATTACCTATTAAAGAGCATCATCTATAAACACCAGGTTGATATCATTCTATTCTCTTAAATTTCCTAATCTTGTTTTTATGGGTGGTCATATTACTTTGTGTTTGCTCGAAAGGCTGCTCCACGAACTGCCATCGTATTTACGCATGTTCTCACTTGTAACGCTTTCTGGAAATTCCAGGGAGTTGAAGGACTACTTTGCTTTTTAAATCTGTTAAGGATGCTATTGATTGTAAACAGAATTAAAACACTGCCATTATTCCTGCTAAATAAATCTAGCATGTGAGCTTTTGATCCACTGCCCTGCTTCCGCTCCATCCCACTTTCCCCCCATCTGCGCCCGTGCTCTCACTGTGTTCGTCGATCAAGTCCTCCAGACCGGGGAAAATGTTCACCAGTTCACTGTCTGTAAAGTATCCCTCGGTCAACAAAGGTTGGTAGAAAACCTCCAGCAACACTCGGAGCATTCGCAGGTGGGCATGCTCTGTGATAAACAGCTCTGCAGGGGGAAAAGTGAAGGGAAGAGCCAGGAAGATCAGCCTTTAGGAAATCTATGCAATTTCAAAAAATGAATTGGAAATCTAAAACTTCCCCATGACATTTGCAAATTCCTTGCTTATCCATTTATGTTTTAGTCATTTATCCTTTTTTCTCATTTCTTTGTCTTGTTGGTTTGTAAAAGGTTTTTACAGGGTATAATCACTAGCACATTTTGTTATTGTTATAGTTTATTGTATATCAATAAAAAATAACAATAAAATAAAGGAAATCTATGCAATTTGAATACAGGTAGTCCTCTCTTAATGACCACTCATTCAGTGACCGTTCAAAGTTACGACAGCACTGAATGAGTGAGACTTATGACAGTTCCTCATAGTTATGGTTGTTGCGGCGTCCCCGTGTCACGTGATAGCAATTTGGGTGTTTGGTAACCAGTTCGCAATTATGATGTTGCAGCGTCCTATGGTCACATGATCACCATTTGTGACTTTCCCCGGCAGTTTCCGACAAGCAAAGTCAATGGGGAAGCTGGCAGGAGGTCGCAAATGGCACTTACGTGACATCACACTTAACAATGGTGCGGGATTCACTTAACAACAGCAATGAGAAGTGCTGTTGTTACGTGATGCGGTCACATGACGTCACACTTTACGACCATGTCGCTTAGTGATGGAGTTGATGGTCCAATTACCATTGTTTAGCAAAGACTACCTGTAGTACATTTCATTATTGTTATAGTTTGTTATATGTCACCAATAAAAAATTAACAATAAAGAAAATCTATGTAATTTGAATATTTATATTTAGAGAGAAGCAACTAGCAAGAGGAGGGGAAGGGAGGGAGAAGACTCTCCTATCATTTACTAACTATCTGAATTCTGAAGGTTCCCCCCCCCCCCAACTTATGTCCAGGGTAGAGGTATAAACATGCTCTGGACAATTATTTACATTTGGGGTATGAAGGGATGTGGGGGCAAGTGAGAAATTACAACTCCTCCCTGTACCTGTAAACTGGTAAGGTCTATGAGACTGCAGCTCTTAACCAATGTGTGGGAAGGTGTAGAAGAGGAAATTGAGTATCCTCCCTGTCCACCAGACCCCGTACTCAAGGAGGGACTTCCCTCAGTTTCCATCTCTTGCTTACCCTTGGGAAACATAGTTGGGTCTCAACAGATCTCCATGTCCTTCTGAAGGGGATTCAAAAGGAAGTCTAGGGTATAGGGCTGTAGAGGGCAGAGGGGATGGCCTTGAAGGACAGGAGAAAAAGCTGCTACCAAGGCAATGGTCAGATAAGAGGGGCTTGAGCCCGGGCCAAGAAAGTAACCTGAAAAAGGTCTCAGACAAGCCCCTCCCTAGTTCATGTCCAGATAATTGTGGGGGGAGCACATTCAGACTTGCAAGATTCTGTTACTCTAGATCAGTGTTTCTCAACCTTGGCAACTATTTGTTTCTTTTTTATATAAGCTTTATTGAAATGCTCCACATAAAATAAAATAAAAACTCACAATACAGAAACATACACAGAAACATAAACCTGCCAGTCCAAAACTAAACATCTAACTTAAAAAAAATATAGTCCCCTCGCTTTCCTCATGAATCCATTAAACATTTCTTATTCTTTTATACTGTTATAATCACTTTTTAAATTTTTCATTCTCTCCCCTTATTTAATCTATAAAACCCTTTATCATCAAGCTATTCTTCCACTTTTGTAATACAATCCATAAACAGACTCCAGTCTAATAAAAACTTCAGCAACTTTAAGGTGTGTGGACTTGCTGGCTGGGGAATTCTGGGAGTTGAAGTCCACACACCTTAAAGTTGCTGAAGTTTTTATTAGACTGGAGTCTGTTTATGGATTGTATTACAAAAGTGGAAGAATAGCTTGATGATAAAGGGTTGGACTTGCTGGCTGGGGAATTCTGGGAGTTGAAGTCCACACACCTTAAAGTTGCTAAGGTTGAGAAACACTAATCCAGATGCTACAATAGACGTTCAAGATACTACAATAAAAGCCATTCTGACTTATATGGCACTGTTTTTTTAGTCTGGTCTACCTAGCAGGGCTGACAGGGAAAACCCCCACATACCATTGATGACTTCTTGCCGCTTCACTTCACTTTTCTTCAGCCTGAGGAGGGTGTCGGAGGGGACAAGCTCCCGCCAGTTTGGCGGGTCCAGCTCCAGTTCCGAAACACGCGGCTCAAACTCCTCAGACTGGGGAAGCAGAAAGGACGGCGGAGGCTCCCCTCCCCCTGCCCCTCCTGGCTCCAAACTGTAGAAGTCAAAGCGACAGACGAAAGATACAGTGAAGACAGTCCTACATCCATCCATCCATCCATCCATCCATCCATCCATCCATCCATCCATCCATCATGTATACACCACCCCAACCTGACTGATTCTGCTGATCATGATTGCCCTGCCCCAAGTCCCACTGCAGTAGCAGCATCTGGCCAACCATGGGTGATCTAAGAAAACCTGAGGAGGGTTGGAAGTGGATGGGAGACCACACAGAAATCCCAGGATTCTGTAGGCTAGACTGGGATAGAAGAATCCCAGGAGAAGACAATGGCAAACCACTTCCAAACTCTGGCCAAAAAAAGCTACACAGATATGTTCATGAAGTCACCAGGAGATTAGCTCAATTCAAAGGAATCGTGCCCCTTTCCACCTGCCCCAACAGCTCTGGAATCTGGAATCCTCACAAAACAAGAATTCTCCTGGTTTCCAGGGCTAATCCACCACATTCAGCCAGGGCGATCCAGTTCTAGATTTGCAACATAGATCAATTCCAAATGCTAAAAGCACTGCTACGGCATATCCTCTCAGCAGATAATCTAAGAAAATGGTGTTAACGTGTACCATAATATTTTCAACTCATCACACAAGCATTTTCTCCCTGGGATTTTACAATGGGACAAATTTAAGATAATGTGTGAGATACTGCTTGTTTTTTGTTTTTTAAGCGTTTAAGACAGATTTCCACAAATTTGTCAAGGAATAGCTCCCAGTTAAATAGAAGCGTCTCTCTCCGTCGTAGCTGCTGGAATGAAAAAATAGGTAGCTGAATTTAGTTTAAACCCCAGAAGCTATACTTTGACATCTTCTAGCAGTGTTATGTTTACACATAAACAAGTTGCAGTTTACTTAAAAGAGTGGCCTGGTTGATTCAAGAGTTGGGTTGGACTATTTCAGTCCTCCTGAGCAGAAGAAACAGATGCCCAGAGTGGCTCTTTTAAAGGCTGCCTCTTTCCTATTCTCATGTTTTAGAGAAGGAAATCAGGGAGAGATGCATCTTCTCTTTTAGCATCAAGGACAATGAAGAGAGGGGGAACTACCCCCAGCAACTGTTTAATTTCTTTTGCACACAGATAAGAACTTCGTCGGTCCCATCCCTTGGAGATGATCCATGGAAATGCATCCATTCCCATTTAGTGTTAGCAGAGATCTCCAGGAGCGTCTGCCAAGACTGCCGATCCTTCTACAACTGTCCCGTTTCTGCCCATGTTGGGGCACCTCAGATGGCCTCTTCACCTACTTGCGACTTCCCTGATTCTGCCGAGCCTGCTCTAGGGTTGGCTTCTCCTCCAGCTCATTGGCCCGGGCCGCGGCCTCGATGTCCACATCGCTCCGCGAACGCGGCTGTTTGCCCTTAGCTGAGCCCCGCTGAGTCCGCTTCCGCTCGTAAACCCGGAGGCTCTCGGAGCGGCCCAACTTTCCGGTCAGCCTGGTGACGGGGGGTAGGTGGAGCCAGGCCACAGACAAAAATTAAAAGGAAAAATGCAGACCAAGGGACGTTGGGTTTGACAAGCCAACGGGACACAAGGGGAGATGGAAGGAGTGTCACGGAAGGTGGAAGAGCCACAGACCAATCGTGAGCAACACGGACCAGGAGTCACAGAAGGTTTGGTGCCAAGAAGGTGGCAGGGATCACAACCAGCAGTGGCACGAGCAGGAGAACACCCAATATGGAAGAAGAGGGGAGGGAGGAGGAAGACAAATTGAGCACATGCAGCGGTGGAAAGAGAAAGGAAGAGAGAGAAATGTAAGAACCCAAGAACCACTGAATATCCATGCACCAGAAGAGGGGAGGGTGGAGCTGCAAGGCAGACACACTCCTGGCGAGCTGGGTCCACCACATGGTTGGTCCCAACCCTAGCTACAACCTCCAAAAAGTTCTTGCTTCTTATGTGGGTTAACAACACCCCCCTCACCACCTCCTGCCCCATGCCAATGTTCAAAATAAGATCTGCCACGAGAGGAGCTGCATTTTAAGTAGCAGGGCTCCAGAGCCAGAAGGGACCTCCAGTTAAAGGGTGCCTTTTCTCCAGCAATCGATTCGGGGAGGGAGGCAGAGTTTCACAAGGCAGCTCTGGTGAACAAAAGGTAATACTTAACTCAGTTTGTGTGTCTTCCCCTGAGGAAGAAATTCATGCAAAGGGTGAGTGGGGGTGAGGAAGCCACCAACCTTTTTCGCTTTCTAGAAGGGAAGAACAGAATATAGAAGGGTGATTATGTTAATACTAACAGGAGAGAAAGAGAAAAAGAGGGAATGGGTGGGGTGGGCAAGTGGTGATGGGCAATCCTCCTACTAAATCTCGGAACGGGACAAGTGCTGTTTAAATGTGAGATGAACTCCGAAGAACCAGGATCAAGAAGATGGAAAACCAGGCTCCTAATAAGTAGGGGAGGTAGCCAAAGGGATAACAGGGATGATGTATTCCTCTCCAAGGGCCTCCTGACAAGATCTTTAGACTCCTGGCCAGCCTTACAATCTATGTTTATGCAGATGTAACTCGCACTGAGTTTGTGGGACTTGCTTTTAGTTGACTGCCTAAAGAAAAGCTGTCCAGATTGGTAATCCTTTTGTAAGGATTCCTACACACCCCCTTGCAAGGCCATCAATGCCCCCCACCTGCTCTCACCTTTCATTTTCTGCACCTTCATCCGGCGGGAGCTGTTCTCCGGCCAGGGACTGCTCAGTAACCGGTGAATCTCCCGAGTCTGCTAGACCTGGACTGTCCACCCCTAAGGAAAACAGAGGAAGGCGTGAAGGAGGAGGGAAGAAATGAGGCAAACTCTTCCTTTCATTCCTCGAAAGAAGTCTTCCTTTCTCCAGCTCATCTGATCTCTCACCCTGCTCTCCATCATTGCCCTCTCCGGGTGGGGGATGCACAGTGACGGACACTCCAGAGGGATCCTGCCCTGAAGGGGTCCCCTTGCCCCGCCCAGAACTTCCTTCTGCTAACTTGGCTTTTTTGTCCAAGGCTGGTGTCTTCTCACCTGCTTTAAGGAGAAAAATATGGAGAAATTAAACACACCCAAGATGCCATTCACCTCCCCCCAAATTGCTCTCCCCACCTCCCCGTACGCAACACGCTCTGCCTCGTGGGCTTATGCACAGATTAGGACACTCTAGTTTCAGCATCAAGAGTTAAGGAAGCTCCTTCTCTTCCTGTCTGGAGTGAGCGAACTGCCCACTTGGCCAAGGTAACCAAGCATCTCCTGGGGCCATAATGTTCAGGTGGATAAAAATTTGATGGTCAGGTAACTTACTTTCTCCAAGCCAGGAGAGGGGTGAGATGCAACATGCAGCTCAGAAGAGATGTAAAATCCCACTAGATAGGGTTGATGGTAGCTTAATAAGAGTTTATATATAAGCAGCTTCCTTCTGGCTAGCAGACAAGGGCCCTAAAATAACATGAGCTTGTCACTAAGTCTGCATTTGTAATCTTAGAACGCTAATGGGAAATTAACGTGGGATTGAATACAAATTATGTGGTCCGAATATAGGTATCCTCACTTAATGACCACAACAGGGACCAGAAAACTGGTCATTAAGTGGGGTGGTCATTAAATGAGTCACATGACTGGACCCGATTTTTACGACCATTTTTATGACAGTTGTTAAGTGAACCATGTGGTCGTTAAGCAAATCCAGCTTCTCCAGTGGACATTTTTTGCCAGAACTTGCTTAACAACCACACGATTCACTTAACGATCATGTGATTCACTTAACAACCATGGTGATTTGCTTAACGACCATCGTTAAAAAAGGTCACAAATTGCAATCACATGACTGCAGGGGATGGTGCAATGGTTTGTGATGGTCGTTAAGTGCAAATATAGGATGTAAAGCAATTTTTCCAAGGCTGTCATAACTTTGAACTGTTGTTAAACAGTCATTAAGCGAGGACTACCTGTACTGTATTGTTCCTCTCATTTTACCGTGTTTATTCTTTCCACTTTATTCACGTTCTTATCTTATTTTACTGAACTTTATTCTGTTGTATTTATGTTATGTTCGGTGGGTCTGTGAATGGTAACAAAGGCTTTGAACTGAATACAGATAAAAAGATTTCCTTTAAGCACTGCAAGGGCAAAGTATGAGGGATGGCTGTGGGAATCTATGTTGGAAGAACACCCTGGACATATCATGCTAAGCCACAGCCACATTTCTTTGGTTTTAGTGTGTTATGCGAACCCAGGTATTGTGTATGACAGGTGTGAAAATCAAGCATTCTCTAAGGTCCTGTTGGGTCCACTGGAATTAAAAGCCAAGTAAGAGTCCTTGAAGATGACACAGGAAATTCTGGGCATCCCTTACCAATCTGGATACCCTCCAAATATGTAAACTCCACTTCCCAGAATTCCCAAGTCCATGTGTCCATTACTTCAAATTCTGCAAGTTGAAATCCTCATACCCAGAAGCTGGACTCTCATACCCTTCTCTGGAACCCAAGCAGTAGGCCCAAGATCCAACGGATGTCAAGACTCAAACAGCTGGGTAAGACCAAAGAAGGAAAACTACAGATATTTGCTGTGGAGTAAGGTATCTTTAATGCTGGTTGGAGGTAAAAACAGAATCTTGGAAGTGGTAAGAAGAATTTCCCAGCCTAACATATACTGAGCGAATTAAGGCAGTGTCTCTTTGCGTGCTTTGAAACACTTCTTCATGGATTTCTTGCCACCTGAGCTGAGTTGCCTTTTATGAGCTGCAAAGCCAAATTATTTTCTCTCTGTCTCTTGGTTGTTTATGTCTGAATTTTCTTACTTTCCTTCCCCAGCCTCTGCACAATCTTTCACAACTGCTGACCATGCAAAGGGAAACGGCCAGGATTCCCACATTAAAGGCTACTCTAGAGGGTTCATTAGAGCCTCTATGGAGCCTCTAATGAATCCTCTAGAGTTCATGGACCATTGCTCTGATCTTATCTGTGCTTGACATTGGCACTCAGATGGCATCACAGTCCCAGAAGGCTCACGAGGCCACACTTCAGCCTTGGGACAATGCAGTTGCTGGTTCAAGGCTAGAATCTCTGACCTTCCCCTCACCCATGCCTGCTGCCATGTTTTCAAACATCTCCTTTCTCCAGATGTTCACCAAGTTACAGCTGATTTTGTCAGCAGGCTGAATCAATGTCCTTGTTTCCCATTTACAATTGCATAAGCACCATTAAGATAGTAACACCCTGAGTTTAGACAATTCAACATGGAGAGGATAATATGTTCAAATTACTGGATGGGGGGAGGCAGCCCTAACAGGGGTTCAACTGCCTTAGCTATCTTTTTTAGAGAGAATTATTCTGGTAGATGCCAAACGTACTTGGTGGGTTTTAATAGAAGAGGGAGAGGGGGATTATTTGGTTAAATTTGGTAGCTACTGTGAGAGATATCTCAAGAGCCAGCATTCTCAAGGCAGAGATATCAGTATATCAACAATGAAGAATCACTCAGCTTCAACACCTTCACCCTGATAGCAGGAAATCAACTAGTGTGCCTTTATTCTAGTCTGTAATTACCACACCATGGCACATAAGAGCCAGCTCTTGGACTGATAAAGGTTCTGGAGACTTTTATGAAAATAGCCAGCTGCAAGCTTCCACAAAGAACTCTGGGACAATCTTGCATGGAAAACAGTAACATTCAGTTTTAGGCAGATGCCAAAGAAACTAACAGGACTGAGAGAGTTCAGCTAAGCCAGAATCCAGCAGCCCATAAAACTGTGCAGAGTTGAAATACTAAGGTTTCCTGCCAAGTCCTGGCCTGCTCAACTGGGGGAGGGGAGGTGTCTTAGAGGTTTCTCATACCACCACCAAAATCTGATCTCTAAGAGTAACTAAGTTCAAGTGAATTCACCGTGGGAAGTAAAACTGAGCAAGTGCGTAATTTGTGCATAAGCCGTAGAAAAAAAAGATAGAGTCTGTGATCTACTCCCACCTTGGCTAATTCAACGCAGTACCCCCAGGGACAGACAGACAGAGGGACACACAACGAGCTGTGGCATGCCAAGAATTTTATCTGGTAACATGACAGGTGTGATGAACTTTTATAGGTGTATGTGTGATTCTTATTAGTATATTACTGGATGGGAGAGTGCGACAGTGAATTAAAAAGTTAGCGACTGATGTTATAAGAGGCAGATTAGTTCTATGTGGCTTCCTCATCAGAGGGATGAATGGATACACAGGATGCCATGCGTTACTAGGAGCTGGTGAAAGGAGGAGGAAGTGGGGGGCTAGTACCTTCACCCTCAGGTTTGGACTGTCTGTAATCAGAATCTACAAAAAATGCAGCAAAAAAGAAAAAAACAATGGAGAAGGATGGGGAAAGAGACGTCATATTAACACCTTCCTAGGTAGTGCCCAAAACTGCTTTTGGACAAGAAGCACGCCAGACTCACCAACCAAGCTGATCCGATGCATGCAAATGAATCACTGTTTTGTGGGCTGGCAAAATATTTATTCCTTATTTGCCTAGCAACCATAACCACAAGCTTTCGAAACAGGAAGAAGAAAAA